TAAAGACAAACCCAATTGAAACTCTTACATTTTCAAATGTCATTATTGAGAATGACATCATTGTTTCTGTATTATCATTTTGCTTGAATTTCTACTAGTTTATGTATCATTAGGAAGCATATATAGCACAATATTGTAATCCTATAGGGGAGACCAAAGGTTTGCTTATATTTCTTTTGGAGGGGGAGGAGTTAAATTTATAAAAATGTCAAAGGTAATTACATTGCATGTGGTAACCTTATTAAAATATCTATATTAAAGTTATGAAATTTAATCTGAGGGCAAAGCGATAGTGGTGTAAAATAAAGTATATAAAATCACATTTTCTTAGCAGTTGAAATATTTAGCTTACTTTCAATGATTTAGAAACTGATCAAATTTTTAGATATCCAACTCCTTTAATTTTTTTATCCTTCATTTCTGCTTATATTTTATCCATTTTCAACTTATCTATAAATCTATCCTGAGAGGGAGAGTGCAAAAAGAGGAAGAAAAACGCAAATGTATTAATATAGTTACTACTTTGCAAATAGAAAAGAAGTGGAGAAGAGTTTAAATTATGATAGGTCTATTGTGGGTTATCCACTTCACCAGTGTGGAGGAGCTGCAATTCCTCTGTATTCCACAGGCCCGGATAATTGAGAGTTACCTGGTATGTCTTGAAAGAGGTAGAACAATTAATCTTTAAACTATTCCTCACAAATGACAATGATCCTGTCACATTAAATTCATATTTTCCTCTATAAAAATACATGGAAGCTTTTACATTAATTAAATTTTCTAGTATCATAAAAGCTAAAACATTTTCAGCCATATCCATTTTATTAGCTATTTTTATTCATTTGCTATCATATTTAATATATAATTCATTATATGAAACAAATATAAATCCAGGTAACTCAAAAGAAAAAGACCAAACTTTTTCATATCATCAGAAAAAAAAAAACCTATGAAGGAATTTTAAAATTGTACTGAACATTTAATTGAATATATTCGGCAGTATGTGTTTAAATAAATATATCTAGAGAGAGGAAGGCAGCAATGGAAACTAAAACCTCTTGATAGACTAAATATACAAAGGGACAATGACAAGATCATATATAAACACAGAACTCTGACCCACAACCTACAGCAACCTGCCCAGAAAATGAACCCCCTTATCTACAATAAACAGCCCAGAAAGCTAGTCTTCTGTAAATCAGATTTGCAAGAAGTCAGATTGCTATCTCTAGTAACAATCTAAGAAGCTAAACAGTAATGTCTATAACAATTGGGGCCAAATGACCAGAACTTGATTAACAATTGACAGCTAATTTTTGTGCTTGTTTCCAACTTTGGACCAACTGGAAAAAGCCAAATATGCACCCCTAACCATCACTTCTAGTTAGCCTGCCTACAGCTTTACCAAGCTGACAGCCTCCAATCAGCACATACATGAAAATTTTTTTCCCTGTAAAGCTTTCCCACTCCTCTGCCTGCCTTTCCAGTCTCTGCCAAAATGCAAGTGATGGTGTCTGACTCCCTTGCTATGCAATCTCTGAATAAATAGACTCTGCTTTCCTCATTTGGCTAATCTTCGTTTATTTCCACACTATAGAGTATCTACCACAGGTCCGTCAATGGCTACATGCTCACATATACAAAATTAATCTTCACAATGTTCTGTGAGAAATTCTTTTAATCCCTATTTTGCAGATGTAGAGAATTGTTTACAGAAGTTAAATAGCTTCTTATGTTCTCCTATTTACGTCATGTTAGAGTAAGTGCTCTGGGTACATTATTTTGATAAAAATATTTGAGATAATATTAAAAGTATATCTAACAATAATATCAGCTATAAATTAGATAAGTATTGTCTAGCAGCACTTGCATTTGTATCCACTCACTTTCTGGACAAACATCAACATTACATTTTGAATTGAGTCATTACTTTAAAGTTACAATTTATCAAAATACATACAGAATTTAAAATAATCAAAAAAATATAGAAAAATAAACTTTTATAACTTATTTTCTATTAGAACACAACAGCAGAAATAATTTGCTTGCCAAGTGGTGATTGCATCAACACTCTTTTCATAGATTATGGGTAGAAAACCTTATAAGATAGGGTGATTATTTATAATATATGATACTGACAAAAAGTAAAAATGAAATATGATTCTAAAATGAAGGTAATAAATATTTATTTGCCTGGTACTATAGACACTCTGCAGATTTTTAAAAATTAATTACCTTCAGCTCTCATGAATCCCAGGGGAAAAAAAATTAATTACCTAACACTCATATAAGATAGGTACTATTGTGTTTACTTCAACAATAAGGAAACAAAGTCTTGGAGATATTCACATTACCTAAGTTTCTCAGTTAGTGAGGTTTGGTGTCTACATTTTAAAAATGAATTATTACTTGGCTTTAAAGTCCATCAAATATGCTTAAGAGACATTTGATAAAAATTCCCTTTAAGATATTCCACTAGCACATAATCTATAATTTATTTTCTGACTCCAAAGAAACATAACTTAGCCTTATAAGAAAGAAGGGTGGGGAGAAACAACATTTGCACATAATTAGAAATTGCAATAAAAGCTACATAAGGTCAGATATAAAAAATTAGAACAATATTGATAACTAATAAGGCTTTTTAGTGCCCCCAAATAAAATGATATTTAAGCAGAATTTCTTTTCCAAGAACTGAAAAAGTAAAAAGAAGTCTACAGATAACATTGTTTAATAATGTGGAATAAGAAATGATGGCTAAAGGACAAATAATTTCTCATGTAATTTTTACTTTGTCTCACTTATTCCATTTAGTTAGCTCAAACCTTTATTAAGAATTCCTTGCATTGAATCCCACTGCTGTGTATCTACCCAGAAGAAAAGAAATCATTATATCAGAAAGCACTCATACTTTTATTGCAGCAAAATTCACAATTACAAAGATGAGGAATCAACCTAAAAACCCATCAACTGATGAGTGGGTTAAGAAAATGTGGTGTGTGTGTGTGTGTGTGTGTGTGTGTGTGTACATACACCATGAAATACTACTCAGCAAAGAAGAAAGAATGAAATAGTGGCTTTTGCAACAACTTGGATGGAAGTTGAGGCCATTATCCTAAGTGTACTAACCCAGGAACAGAAAAACAAATGCTGCGTGTTCTCACTTATCAGTAGGAGCTAAACTATGGCTATACAAGGGCACACAGAGTGGTATAATGGACGTTGGAGACTCAAAAGGGGGAACGGTGGGAGAGCTGAGGGATAAAAAATTACCTATGGGGTACAATGGACACTATTCAGATGATGGGTACACCAAGAGCCCAGACTCTACCACTATGCAATATATACATGTAATAGAATTCAACCTGTACCCCTAAACCTGTTAAAATAAATTTAAAAAAAGAATTCCTTGCATTGAACATCACAAATTAAAATGAACAAAAAGTTGGAATTTGAGAATTCTTATTAAAAAAAAGATTGAAGCTCTTGGCCTTCATAGCATTTCAAGTTAAGGAAGAAACACTTTTAAAAAAAAAATCACTATTATAATCAAAAGTAATGAATTTGTCATTTAAAATTATAAATAGAAGGGTATAATTTGATTATTTTTTAGAATATACATAGGGAAAAACAAAGAGCCTCCTTTATACATCTTAAAGACTTTTCTCCTTGCCATGAACAAAAGACTGAAACTCATTACCTGTCAGGTGATTTAATTTTTAAAACCTTTAGTTATCTCCTCCCCATTGGGCATATGATTGGATTTTCAGTTTCAATATGTAATGACATGTTTTTCATAGAAAAGAAAAATTAATTGAGGCCTCCATCTCTGCCTCTTTCTGTATCAGACCTTTTGAACGGAGGTACATGGCCAAAAGGTATAGGGCAGGATAAGGGATGCATTTTATAAGAAAATCATCTGGGGAATTTCCCAAATAAGACAAGTCTCAGTCAGGTTGATGCCAAGAAAAATAATCACATCATGAAAATAACATGTTACAATAACTGTGAAGCAAAAGCATAACAGAGCAGAGACACAGAACTTATGTTAGAATCCTGTTCTTGCCCTGGCTAGCTGTGTGATACCAGTCAAATTACCTGACTTCTCTGTGGCAAGGTTCCTCATTTATAAGAAGGGAATGATAATAACAACAGAACCTTATCAGGTTCTTGTAAAGATTAAGAGTTAACATATATGTGTTGTAAACACTAGGTAAGTATTACTTAAATGATTCTTGCTATATCTGTGTGACTCTTTTATTAAAGGTGGACACTTTTCGAAGGCAGGAGTTAGGTCAAAATTCTTTGGATCTCAAATGTATACTAATGCTTCCCATGCAGAGGTATGCAATATATGTGGAATGACGGGTGGATTTTAAAAAATTAACAAGTACATGGATTTGGCAGCTTTCAGAGAAGGAATGGCATCCATATAGAGTGGGTTTAATATTGAAAATAAAATGTAAATTCTTTTCAGAAGCTTCTTTCAAAACTTAAAAGTACATTTTAGAAACGATTCATCAGCTCTCTCAATATGATTGATTTAGTTCAAAGGATTGCACAGTTTTCTGTGTTTCTACTTCAATTTGACAGAAAATATTTAATGTTTCTTAAACAAGTGAAACAAAGTTGTAGTTGTGTTACCTCTTGACTAATAAGTCTTAGCATCTTTTTAAGAAAGAAACGTAGAAAGCCTACTTGGTAAGAATGTTCATTGATTTATACACATATACAGTTTTATTTGAATCGGTTTTTAAAAATTAAGATTTGTTTGAAATCTTGAAGGCACTGCAGAATACATACTGTATTGTCCATGTTTGTCTTCCCAAATTAACTATATATGACAATCTTGGCACATATTTGTGAATATGGTGTATTCTTAATGTAGGCATCACATTGATTTGAGCTATATAATTATTTTGAAATTTTAGTGCTATCATCTCTTTATAAATCTCTTTCATTTTATTTCTTAGAAATAATTGTATATAATTCCTTCTTACCCTATTTGAGTCAATTCTTGCTCTGGAGGTGTAGATAGGAGGTGGGATGTTGAAAGCCTGAGGGACCAGGTACTCCTCAGCATCCATCATATCTTCTAAATCCTCTTCATCCAAGAGGTTCTGAAAGAACTTGCTGTCATTTGGGCTGGGAAGCTTCATACGATCATCACCCTAAAAGATTGCCCAACAGACACACGAAAAGTGATTCTTCCCTTCATCATAAATACGTGGTCTCTGCAACAAATTTATGTAATGTCATAACAAATGGTTCAAAAATTCATGCACACATTTCAAAAAAAAATTCTTGAGCACAACCACTAGCCATAAAGAAGCCTATAATGTGCTTATCTATGACAGGGTAAGATAAATAAATGTAATACAAGAAGAATGCGATATATTCCGTCAGAGAAGAATAAAGCAGAATGCTAAGGATGTTTTTAGAGAGGCAAAATTCAATACAGACCTGAGAATAATGGTTCATTGTCACAATTCAGTGTAACATAATTCAGTGTAATCCATGTGGTTTGTGGGTTGTGACTTTAAGATATAAATAATGAAAGGAAATCTATTTGTCAATCTTTATTTTATTTGGTTGGTTTGATGCTGTAGAATTATTAGGACACATAGGCCCATAATTTGTTCTATAGCAAAACAGCTACATCGTCAAAGTGGTGGCATTCAAAATCACAGCCCAAGTGGCAAATAGCATAAATGGGTATGGGAGAGAAACCCATACCCTTGTTATAATCTTTCTTGCCTCATTTCTTAATTTTCTTTGTATTTTCAAAGTTATGTGATTTTTTTGTAAAACAAATTTCAGTTCATGAAATTTAATTTTGGGGGAAAATAGCTAGAAATATCTATCTTCTAAAACCTGGCTTTCCTCTTCATGTCATACTACTGATAC